CCAAAAAAACTACGTTGTAATACTCGAATAATAATAATAATAATAATAATAATAAAGAAAACAAAAACAAAATTGTATAATTAGTGGAGCATGTAAGTTTTGGATGTGGCATGACCCGCCGGATGGTAAGGTGTTGGACATATACACTTGAGACCTGAGTTTGAATCCTACCGTAGTTTTTTTTTCTTATTTTCCTTAGCCGTTGCTATTCCGTAGCTATGCCGACAACATACCTTCCATCGCTATTCCGTTGGTAATTACGGACAGACTACCTTCCGTCGCTATTCCGTACATGTTTCATCATAATATCGTTACTAAAGTAGGGCATCCAATTCTGTAGCTACTCCGTAGGTAATTTTTGTATGTAAAACTTTTTTTCTAGTAGTGCATATTGCTTCATCATGTTAAATAGTTAAAAAATAAGTTAGAATTTTTTATTTTAATATGACATTTCACGTAATGAAATCAACATGTTGTGATTCTTATTTTCTGAATCATAGATACCAACACACATTTTAAAACAACGAACTTATTTTGCAAAATATTAGTAGTTGAAAATTTAAAATATATTTAGTTGACTTGATGTTATTTCATTGCCAATATTGATTACTTGAAAGTTTGCACCGCGGAGAATTTCACACGAATTCTATGAAAGCTTTGCTAAATGGTACTATTATATTACAAAATGACAAAAACGAAAGATTAAACTTCCAGAAACTTTCATATAGCTACGTTGCAAACCAAAGTAATTATGAGGCGGATTAAGTTGTTGCGTAGCGCGTTACCTCCACTATTATGGCTCCGTTTTTTACTAATTAAGCATCTTATTCTCGTGCTCGTGTGAATGCTTGAAGATGCTAAGTTATGAACTTTATATCAGGACGAGAGGTTCCAAGAAAGAGCATTATATATACTATATATAGTAATATTTTTACATCAATCCACACATGTTATTATGAAAATAATAAAAGAAAAATACGATATTGTTTTCTAATGTAGTAGTTGAAATCAGTCCCTATTAATTTGATGCTTCGTAGGTTTTTTTTTTTTCAAACAGATCTTGTGTTTATTCGTTCTTTGTTTCTCTCTAAATCTCAACACTAGGAATCATGTGCTTCTCGTTCTTCTCAAAAGTAGCAGTCTTACTCGTTGCTCTTATCATACAAATGAGTGGAGTTGTCTCAGTAGATAATCTTGCATTACATGCAATCAAATCCGAGATTACAGAAGACCCTCAAGGTGTTTTGAGTTTTTGGAATGATTCTCTTCCTTTTTGGCGAGGAGTCATATGTGGTAGTCTCCACCAAAGAGTCACAGGTTTGAATCTAGCGAACAGAGGCTTAGTAGGTACTTTATCTCCTTCTATTGCCAACCTCAGCTTCCTCAGGTACATTTATCTTGATAACAACAAACTTCATGGAAGTATACCTCCTGAAATCGGTAGCTTATTTCGATTAGAATCACTATCCCTTCCTAATAATTCATTCACTAAAGAAATCCCCAACAACATATCAAATTGTACAAAACTACTACACATTGATTTATCTGGGAATATAGCAATCAAATGTAGCAATCAAAGTATTAAATCTCCAACGAAGAGGAGGTTCCAAGAGTTTTATAGCTGAGTGTGAGGCCTTAAGAAATATTCGACATCGAAACCTGGTTAAGATCATAACTGCTTGCTCAAGTCTCAATTTCCAAGGAAATGATTTCAAAGCTTTAGTGTATGATTTCATGCCAAATGGAAGTCTTGAGAGTTTGTTGCATTCATGCACAAAACTAGACAATATGCCTCATCATTCGTGTCAACTAGATCTCATTCAAAGAATAAGCATTGCTAAAGATGTGGCTTGTGCTCTTGATTATCTACACAACCATTGTGGAAACGTAGTTGTTCATTGTGATTTGAAGCCAAGCAACATTTTATTAGATGTTGATATGGTTGCTCATATTGGAGACTTTGGGCTAGCAAAAATTCTTACACTTGAACAGCTTCCTAATGCAAACATGAGTAGTTCAAGTCTTATGAGAGGAACTATTGGGTATGCAGCACCAGGTAAATTTATGATCCCTAGTCCACTTGATTTTTTTTTTATGTTAATTAATCTTTGATTTACTATATATGTACAAACATAATTCTATGTAACATGCAGAGTATGGACTTGGAAATGAAGTATCGACCGAGGGGGACATTTATAGCTATGGGATCCTATTGTTAGAGATGTTGACTGGAAAAAGACCTATTGATCTAATATTTAAAGAAGGACTGAGCCTACATTCTTATGCAAGGAAAGCATTGGCAAATGGTTTTGTGCTTCAGATTGTGGATCCCATGCTTCTAAACGATGATGTCAACGAAATGTTTTTAAGTTCATTAGCAAAAATCGGAGTGCAATGTTCTTCTGAGTCTCCACATGATCGAATGGATATTGGGATTGTTATTCAAGAGTTGCTTTCTGTGATGGGTATGGCTATTAATAACGTGTATGTAGATAGGTAATTTTTACCAAAGGGCTTGTAGCCCAGCGGTATCAGGTGGTGTTCTCCCTCTTTGAGGTTGAGGGTTCAAGTCCCGTCGTGGACGTAGGTGGAATAGGTGTTGTTAGCTTAGGAGTAGATTAGATTTTGCCGGTTAGAAAAAAAAAAAAAAAAATAGGCAATTTTTTCTCTTCAAATTTCGTAGCAATATTGTTAATAGGAGGATAACAGCTCTTATTATCATTGAAACTACAAAGACATGCTTGAAAATTGAGTGAATTCTTCTTTTGAAATTGTGAGAAAACAAGGGGGAACGTAGAGTTTCTCTTGGATTTCTACTTGCGATTTAAGGTAAGATTTTCGTAAAAAAGCTTCAAGTTTATTATTAAGTTTGTATTTAATTTGATTTATAAAACATAATTATGGATAAACTTGGTAAAATAGATTGTATTATATTAATTATTAAACCTCGTTATATATATATATATATATATATATATATATATATATATATATATATATATATATATATATATATATAGTTGAGATCGGTTAACAACTTATAGTATCCCGAGAACCCGAGAACTAAAAGTGGAGCGTTGGATCAAAAGTAATTCATTAAGGACATGATCGTCATCTTACCAATCTCATTTAATGTTTAATTTTTTTGTGCTATTTAACATATTAATATAAATGTCTAAAAATTTACATCATAAATCAAATTTTCATATTTTTTTTAAAAAATAGTATTTTTCGTTTTTTTTTTTTTTTAAAATGCAGATTTTTTAATTTTTTATAGAAAACATGAAATTTAAAAAAAAATTGAAAAAATATTTTTTTAAACTAACTGCAATATTTTTTTTAAAAAAAAATGCATTTTTTTTCAAAAAAAAAACTGCAATTTTTTTAAAGAAAATTGCATTTTTTTCAAAAATAACTGCAATTTTTTTAAAAAAAACTGCATTTTTAAATAAAAAAACTGCAATTTTTTCAAAAAAACTGTATGTTTTTTTAAAGAAAGTTACATTTTTTACAAAAAAAACTGTATTTAACAAAAAAACTGCAATTTTTTTTTAAAAAAACTGCATTTTTTTATAAAAAAAAAGTAAATTTTTAGGTGGATATGTGCATATTTTTTCAAATGCACATATGTACATTTCTTATACTATAATATTCGTAAGTAAATCACAACAAATCTCATTTTTATTAATTAATCTATAAACATAATAGTACAAGTATTTTATTCGATACAAAATAAAATATAAAAAATAAAAAAATGCTACAAGTTTCAAAACGTTTTCATGTCTTCGTGTTAATATTTCCATATTTTCTTCAATTTATCATTTTCCACCTCTTCAATATTCACCACAATTTCTTCCAAATCTACAACAAAATTAAAAAGAAATTGATTGATGCAAAAACATTCACAAAAATACATATGTGATTTACATGTGAATCACATGTAATTCATATCTTATTTACATGTGTATCACATGTAATTCATATGTGAATTACATGTGAATCACATGTAATTCATATGTGATTTACATATGAATCATATGTAATTCATATGTGATTTACATGTGAATCACATGAGAATCACATGTAATTCATATGTAAATTACAATTCATATGTGAATTACATGTGAATCACATGTAATTCATATGTGAATTACATGTGATTTACATGTGAATCGCGTGCAATTCATATGTGATTTACATGTGAATCACATCTAATGCATATGTGAATTACATGTGATATACGTGTGAATCATATGTAATTCATATGTGATTTACAGGTGAATCACATGTAATTCACATATGAATTACATGTGATTTACATGTGAATCAAATGTGATTCATATGTGAATTACATGTGATTTACATGTGAATCACATGTAATTCATATGTGATTTACATGTGAATCACATGTAATTACAACGTTAAACTTTTTATAAATTTAGCTAAGTAAAAAAGAAGCAACCATAGTTGTCCAGATTATAAGTGTTGAACTCATTATACAATGTTCTCTTCCAATCTCTCTCATATGGCTTAACATGAAGACAATCTTGTTATTGTGTGGACAAGATGAGGACAAATTTATAAAAAGTTAGGGACTTAATGGGAATTGGGAAAGACTCATTCGCCTCAAGTTTCATATTAAGTTATTCTTTATACATTAAGTCAAACCAACCTGTAAGAACTCGACGATTACGGATTCCAGTTCAAACAGATATCCATTCATCATTTGTGTCAACAATGTTAGAAAGATCATCATTAGAAACTTCAAGAATAGGTACAGCAATACCACATCCAAGTAACTTGCAACCCTTTCCAACTACCCTGAAAAGAAAAGGAGAACATGGCGATTAGAGGCGAATTTCAGTTGCACAATCTAATATTGAATATGCATAAGCTTTTGATTGGGCATCAATAAACAAATAAACAAAACATGCATTGTTTTCTTCTAAAATGCACTTCAGTCTTAGGCATCAATAAACACATAGTAAGAAAAAAAACTGACCAAATTTACCAATCACCTCATCTGTGATAGAGCACCCACAAGCTGTGCAATTAGGTCTAGAAGGAGCCCCCTCAAATTAGCCAACAAAGGATATTCAACCTGACTTACAACCCTGTAATGAGAAAATTTATCAAATAAACACAACACCACATGACATAATTCCAATTACGCCACTTGAAATCAATGAGCACATCAACTAGATATCTTCAAGTTTCTGAAGATAACTTGCCCTTACCTGTCAGCATTGATCAACCAATCAAATACAAAACGTTCAAGCCCACTCCATAGTTTTTCTGTAATTACAATAAGCATATCCTGTTTTAGAACAAAATGACCTCACTTACAAGGATTAAGGATAGACTAATGGTGGAACAGCCAAACCTTTTTCTGAAATTCAACACTGATTCTTTTATCATCTGCATTAGCTAACTGAGCAACAAAGATGAAATCTACAAGTTCGTTCACAGGAGCATCTTCACCTATTAAGAATCACGAGAAGAAAAACAAATTGGTAAAATATATTTTGTATGATTTAAAATAAATACAAATTACAATACCAAGTTTGTTTATTGCAAACTCGACTTCCTCAATAGTGAAGTTCATCATTAGTAAGGAAGCCTTTTTGTCATCAATGTCATTGCAGCCTTCATCAAGATCCTGCATAGTAAGTATTTTTAGCAGATTGATAATAAACTCTGATGAAGATAAAATTCTAAAACTAACAAATATAATGGACTTGTAGGTCATGTAAACAATAGTAATAATAATCGTAAAAACTATAAATACTATCTACAAGTGAAGGCCCCAATCTATACATCTGAATCCATGAAAATAAGGATGATGATCTTACTGTGATCCCAATTATTTGCATTAACAAAGTCAATTTCACTAAAAATATAACAAATTCTCCATAAATCTCTAAAGAAATGTTCCTACATACACCCCAAGCTGAACTATTTTAGATGAAACTGAAAAAAAAATACAAATGAAGGATTATAAGAGAGAATGCTAACCAAATTTCTTGACTGGCAAAGATGAAGCATAAAATGTCTAGCAAAATTGCAGAAAATAATAGAGATGTATAAGTTCTCCCGAGACACTCTCTTTCAACTAATCAACATCTATTTCATCAGTTAACATTGTATCAATGTCATAAGCGTTGACCTTCATTTGCAGATGAAAAATTCAAAATGAAATATCATAAAATCATTATTCATATCATGTTTTGCAACCCTTAAACATAGCAAAAGCAAACACATAAGCATCCTTGATTTATAGTTTTTACAAGGTTTGTAAACAGTTTGATAATCAGATTACTAATGGATCAGATACTTGAAAATGAAGAAAAAATTACGATCTTATTGAAAAATTGGAAACATTACCTTAGAATTTAGAATATCACTGAGAACAGAACAAAGAGTTGCAACAGATGCTTTGTATCAGAGTCGAGCTTCATTGAGAGCTCCATTGATTTTATCGAAGATAATATCGGAAATATCGATTCTATCGTATCTTCCAAATGTTTTTTTCCCTTCCATCGCCAACTCGTGTGTCGATTTCTAACTTGTGATGGTCGTGTTGCTAGTCTCGTCTATTGATTTCGAATCTTAACACGAAATTGAAATTGTGGATCAGAAAACAATTGCAAACCCTAATTTTTGCAATTGACTGAAACAGGAAGAGGTGAGGCGACGATAAGAGGAGAGAGATTTCCCATCGTCGTGTTCTCTTTCAATCTCTCATCGATGTTATCCTGATCGAAGGAATCAACGTTGCAAAGACGTAAAGACGTGTGTATGTGTGTGTGTGTGTTTGTGTGTGTGAGGGAGAAAGAGAAGTGGGGGAGAGACGATGAAGAAGGCAATTAATCGATATGGTGACGATTACCGGAGGCGGCCATGGCTTTCAGATGGTGGCATTGGATTTCATCAAACCATCAGCGATGAAGTTGACGTGATGAAGGTGTAGGGAGAGGGACGGGATGAAGAGAGAGAGAGAGAGAGAGAGAGAGAGAGAGAGAGAGAGAGAGAGAGAGAGATGTAGGGAGAGAGTCGACGTGATTAATCTGATAATGGGGTATCAATTACAGTTTCCTTAAATTCCCTTGATTTATTTTAGTAAGATGCCCCCGTCCCTTTTTATTTTCAGGTATTTACAAAAATGCCACAAAGCATCCTAACCCTTTATTATTTTAATCTAACGGCATTGTTTAGTTCTCGGATTCTCGGGAAACTTTGAGTTCTCAAATGATCCTTGCTCTCTCTCTCTCTATATATATATGTATATATATATATATATATATATATATATATATATATATATATATAATAAAGGTAGTTAGACACTAATCCCTATCTATTATTACTGTCTAACATTCACCGCAAACTAAGACCTAGTAAGCAGTGGCGGACCCAGAGAAAAAATATAGGGGTAGCACAATAGAATATACAAGCAGGTAAAAGAAACAAACAAAGAACAAACATAACAATGTACTTATG